TTTTGGAAATAATTTGAAATGTTAACAGAAATATTCCAAGAATAAGAGTACTGCAAAGAATACCCACTTTCCTTTACCTAGATTCACCTATTAACACTTTATCCCATTTGCTTATTCTTCTCATCTTGCATATTTATAGCTATGTTTGTCCATCTGTGTTTAAATGTGTTTGCACACACACACATAATTTTTTCCCTTAATTAAGACTAAGTTGCATATATCATGGTCTTTATTCCTAAATAATTCAGTGTGTCTTCTTTAAGAATAGGGTATTCTTCCCTCTAAGAGTGGGATATTCTTATATGATTACAGCAAGATTCAGCAAGTTTTTTTCTATAAAATACCAGATAGTATTATTTTAGGCCTTGTGGACCATATACAGTCTCTGTTGCATAGTCTTTGTTCTTTATTCAACGCTTTAAATATGTAAAAGTGTTCTTAGCCCACAGGTCATAAGTTGTCTGCCCTTGGACCATGGTGAAATGATCCACTTCAGTATTTTTAATGTTGGTACATGATTCTTATCTAATATTATCTAATTTACCACGCATCTTCCAATTTTTCAAATTGGCCTAGTAATTTCCTTTATGCATTTCCCTGTCTCTTTTGGAATCTAATCTAGGACCCGCCATTGCACTTGGTTGATACTGTTCTTTCATATCCTTCAATCCGGGCCATTTCCTCAGCCTTTCACTGTCTCTTATGATATTGACATGTTTAGGGAATACAGTTCCTTTTTTTAAAAATAGAACATTCCTAATTTGGGGCTGTCTAGTGATAAGATTCACTGCTCTAACCTGCATCCCATATAAACGATGTCAAAGGCTTTTTAGGGTATCATATCTGGAGACACACACGGTCCATCCGCTCCTCGCAGATGACTTCCAAGCAATAGCAAGTGGAAGAACAAAAACAAAACAAAACAAAAAAAGGAAGAATAGAGAAATCCTAAAAGAACACTGCTTTAGAGACAGATGATCTTCAGAATTATTGTGTGTTTTTTTCATCCAATGCTGTGCAAAGCTTTAACTTAAAGCTTGTGTCTCTGTTTTCATCTCTACTAGACATAGGAGAAGGCAACTAAATGTTTTGAGAAAAACCATTTCATCCAGGGAGCAGCATGGTAAGAAGCAGAACTCCCAGGAGCCTTTTGTTGGTTTTTGAAGTACATATATTCTTAGCTTGTGTATACATCTTAATTTTTGTATAGTAACTGGCCAGCGTCTTATCTTTCAGCCTCTGCTTCAGTAGTTCAGCCCGACGTTCGGGTCACACTGAAAGTCCTGCTGCTCTCTGCACACTCCAGATCCGTTTTTTGCTTGAAATAGTCCTTTCTTCTTCCCTGATTAGAATTATCTTAATTTTTCATCATCTTCTGCTAATGTCATCCATTTCATGCAATTCCCAAGAAGAAATAGACTCTTTATTTTTCTATAATGTTTTCTACTGTCCCTTGGTGACATTGATGATGACAATGATGAGGCTAATAATAGTAATACCGTAGCAACTACAAATAATTGAGTAGTTTCTCTTGCCAGGCATTGTGCTAGGCACTTATATCCCTTTTCCAACAATAGTATTATTTATGCATCATAGTTATCCTCATTTTTGAAATAGGAAAACTGAGATCCAAAAAGTAGCATGTCTAGGACCACAGTCTCATAGTCTAATAAGCTATATAGAATGAGGACACAAGTATGTGGGTCAAAGACAGTACTCTGTTTTAAAATATTGAAGCAATCGTTTTAATTTTATATATGTTGTATGGTGATAATATTGTTAGATTAAATTTAGTTACAGGGAAACATACAGATATTAAGTGTACAATTCATTGAACTTAACAGATATTAAGTGTACAATTCAATGAACTTAAATAAGAATGTAACCATCACCCCATCAAAATATGGCCCCACAAAGTTCTTTTATGCCTCTTCTCACCAATTCCCTCCCTCCAAACCAGAGACAAGCATTGTTGTGATTTCTATTATCCTAAATTAGTTTGGTCTGTTTTTGAATTTACTATAAATGAACTCGCCCAGTATGTGTACACTTTTCTATCTGGTTTATTTCACTCAAAATAATAAAAAAAATTTTCTTGAGAATCAGCCATGTTATGTATAGAAGTAGCTTATTTATTTATTTTTTTTATTGTAGAGGAGTGTTCTGTTGTATAAATAAGTAACAGTTTTTTTCTACTCTGCTGTTGGTAGACATTCAAATTGTTTCCAGATTTTGGCTATTATGAATAAAGATGCTATGAGCATTCTTGTACAAGCCTTTTAGTGGATATATACTTTGATTCCTCTTGGGTAGATGCCTAGGTATAGGGTCATAGTATAGGGGTATGTTTAGCTTTGTGAAACTTTGCCAAATAACTTTCCAAAAAGTTATACCATTTTACACTCCGTAGGCAATGGGTGAGCGTTCTAGTGGCTCCATATCCTTGCTAACATTTGGTGTTGTTATCTTTTTAATTTTAGCTATTTTAGTGGGTGTGAGAAAGCACTGCAGCCAAAGCCTATACTCTTAACCCCTGCTTGATGTCATCACGACCCTTTGCATTTTATACAGTAACTTGCATACATATCTCTCTTTCCAACTAGATTCCAAGCCCTCAGATAGCTAAGATATTAACTTATCATTTTTATAATCTTTCAAAGGACTAACACAGTGCCTGAATCAGAATAGATACTCAATAAATGCTTAATACATTTTGGCTTGGAACACATTCTCTGCATTTTTTTTTTTTTTTGCCAATGTTCAATCAATAGTGTGAAAGAGTAGAGAGAGGATGAGTGAGGATAATTAATATGGCAGAAGTCTGGTGATATATCCGAGGGCACACTGGCAAGGTCAGGGGACAGCTTAGATTGAAGTATGTTCAAAAATAAGATTCTAGGTCTTGTATATCTCAGTATGCATTATAATCATCTGGGGAACTCTGGAAAAAAATGCAAATGTCTTAGCCCCAAACAAATGATGGTTATCTTGGAGGATTTCTACCCTAAAAGCCTTCAGCTGGAGAATAGGGAATGCTTGGTCAATGATTAATGAAGTGCGTGCTTAGTCTCCCAGCTGGTTATTTATATATGCATGTATGTTTACCTATCCATATGGCAGACATTTGGACTGAATTGATCTCGAGGTGAGCACAGTCATTGATCTTTTATAGATGTTCCCTAGATGCCACTCTTGGGCAGCTAGCATTATAAACACTGACATAGTAGAATGAAGAAATAAGAGGTTTACATTGATGATGATAATGTTGGTCTGTTCCAAAGAGGTAACAACCTGACTATGTCTCTCTCTAGAAGTGAGATTATCACATCTAACTACATACATGTATGGAACTACAGTTGAGTGACTGCCTAGCTATCCCCTTTATCCTCTGCCAAGTAGACAGAGCCTTTGATCAGCAATCATCTGCCATGTGGAAGAATCAAGGGGCACAGCACACTTGTGCTAATACCAAAGGCATTCCTTGTAAGTCTCTTAATAAACTTACTTGGAGCCCTGAAGGCCGTCTACTCCAAACATGAATTCCCAGCCCTGCCAAAATGATTTGAGTCTAAACATGACAATCCATGATATATCAGGCAGAACTGAAAGAATTTAACATGGCTTATCAAAGTCTAAAGCTGAAATTGAGTGATGCAAAATGGACAAATGAGGTCAATGTATTTTGAATGACATTAAGCTAGATGTTATAGCCATGCTGTAAATCTGAGGGGCCCAGAGTCTGGCTCTTCTGAATGGTCTGGTCCTGAACTTCACCCTGAGTGTTCACTCTCACATAGCTACTGAAAGTGGCTCAGTAAGGCATAGCCAGACCTTACCTCACTCAGTGAGAGCCATAGATTTTTCATTTGAACAACTCTAAGAGTTAGACAAGGGAGTTCACTTGAGAATACTCCCATGCATTTTCTTTCCTCCCCCATGGGACAACTGTTCTTTGGTTTGAGATTGCTGTGAGGTGGGCAGTACAGAGCTGAAACAATTCTTCCTCAGTTCTCCATCAGCCTTCTTCTCCTCACTTCAAACTGTTGTTACCTCCTTGGAGGATGGAGGGGAGAGCTAGGAAAGAGGAACAGGGAAAAGTGAAGGCGAAAGGAATGCAGGAGAGAAAGGTAGTAAGGAAGAAAAAGAAAAATTCATGTGTGTACACATGTATGCATGTGTGTGTGTGTGCATGCACACATACACAGAAAGAAGGGAATCACAATTTCCAATCACAATAACAAATTAGAATCAGAACCTTTCAACTAGGAGGATCTTTACCTATCACAGAGTTAAACACCTCGTTTTACAGATGAGGAAACTGAATGCAAGAAAGATGAAAGGATTTATACAAAGTGACACAGTAAGTCAGGAGCAGAGTTAGATATGAGATCTCAGGTGTCCACCACCATCCACCTCCTTCAAAGTGTTTCCCGATAATTTCCATGCTACCGTATCAAGTCTCTAAAAAAAAAATAGCCTTCTGCCTGCATCTCACCACCCAGCCACACAAACCAGAGCCTGAAAGGACATTTCAATGAAGTTGAGTAGATGGTTTTGCTGGGTGGGGATCTGAGCATCTGTGGGTGGGCAAAGTAGGCATTCTAATAAGAAACAGGCTCTTTTTTTTTTTTTTTTAACCTGACTGTAACACAAAACTTAAGTCTTCAAACCTTCCCAGGCAGAGCTGTAGAAAGGGAAGAGTTATAACACTTCTGATAATTAAGTGGCAGTCCTAAGAGATCAATCATGTCTTCAGAGGCCACATTGAAAAACCACTAACAGTGGCATTAATGTGTTTGGGTTACACTTAACAATCTGGTTGTTAAATGCACTTCAACCATTTGTTCTGGGTCACCAGAGGTTAACAAGCCAGTAGTGAATGTAAACATAATTGTGTTTCTTGAGGCTATGTTGTCAGCTTGAAGAACAGAACAAAGCCTCATCAATAATCTTTACTTTCTTCTAAGCCTGTACATGTTGAGTAATACATTGATACTCACTGTTGTGTTTGAAGGTTCTTATGGTTGCACCTGAGAGTCGAGCCCCAAGCACAAGCGATGTGTGGTTTAACTCATCACTTAAAATGAGGCATCCCTGTGCAGAAAGCAAGCACACAAAACACAAGCTAGTAAATAAAACAAAGGAAAAACAACTTGTGGGGACGGGAAGGCACTCTAAAACCTATAACACAGATTTCTAAAACTCACTTTAATTTTAAAAGGCCAAGAGTTTAACCTGGTGTCTATATGGATAAAATCATGTATAGCAGTTAGCTGATGGAGACGGGAATTGTTTTAAGAGATTACATGTTCACTGCTACATTTACATATGGTTTTCAGTAGAGAAGTTCATCCAAGATCTTTGTCAAGCACCAGGTAGATTGGTAGATTTTTGGGTGAGTTATGAACTTATAGAGGCATCTCAATTATTTCTACTGAAAGGCAAGGGTCTTTTGTGCAGGACAATTCAAGCTCTTACTTCTGGTTCTCATTTTCCACTGTATTAACATCCCATGTAGACAAAAACATCACTGTTTATAGTAAAAAACTTGGAAAAGTATGCATGGCAATTTAGTCTGAGGTATGTGGATAAAGTCAGTCTAACTTACTGCTTACATATTACTCTTTGTAAAATTATTTTTCCTTTTTAATTAAACATTTCTAACTTGTAAAACTGAGCATACTGAAAATGCAGGCAAATTATGCAGGACCTTTGTCTTTGGTGGCCTTCCAGAATCTTTGAGTTCTCCTTTATATTTCTGTAGTTTCACACATAGCATGTTTTGATTTTTTTTTAGGTAAAAGCCACAATAATTCCCGTACATTTGTACTCTCTATATATGCATATTTGTATTTTTTTCTGGTGGAACATTTGAGAATTATTTGTAAGCCTCCTATTTCACCATGCCTAAGAACAGGACATTCTCCTACGAAAATCACAATTCAGTGATCACATCCAAGCAGTTCAATGTTTTTACAATACTATCATTTGATAGACAGTTCAAATTTAAATTTCCCCAACTTTTCTAATGATGTCTTAATACTTTTTATAGATGTTATCATTCCTTTGATGTTGTTCAATGCAAAATCCAGTCTAAGACCATGCACTGCATGTAGCTGTGATGAGACAGATTTTCAAAGGCATAAATCTGATTAATGTACTTGCTTACTTGGCAATGAACTAGCCAACTTCCCATTTTTTTCTGAGGAACAATTTCAAACACCAGCATGATTTTCACTATATGGTTTATTGCCATTAGGCACCTGCTTTCATCTCTGGTCATTTTTCGACCACCATTTTATATTCTGGTTCCTCCAAATCTATGTATTTTATACATGCTCTTCCCTCTTTTTGCCCTAAGTAATTAAGCTTATTTATCTGTGAAAATTCTGTTCTCCTCTCACCATTTTTGCTCAGACACTGCAGACTTTCTCAGGAAGGGTTTTGGGCAGCTCTTTGTCCTTCCTCATGTATGACCATGCCTCTTCTGTTTGCCCTGTTTTATCCAGTATATAGTTTTCCCCATTAGACTATAAACTACATAAATTTAAAAGGCACAGGACTTGTTCATCTTTGTATGTCTTATATCTTCTCTTATATGAGGACATAGTAGATTCTCAATAATTGGTTTATTGAATGAAAAACTAAATGAGTAACATAGGAAAAATATTTTGTCCAAATGCTTAATAAATATTTGCTATAGTAAGTTGCGTGGGAATTCAGGAGCCCAAAATTATGACTACTTTGTTAAACTGTCAAATCTTATGATCAAATATCATGATAAGATTTGCTGGACTAAGCTGGCATACTTATTCAAAAATACCAATATCTAATCACTTTCTCCTGAGAAAAGAACCTTCTCAGCCATACTTCTAACAAGGACCTGCTCAGAGTTACAATTCTTAGGAGTAATAGAGTAGAAGACAATTACGTTAACAAACTTCTCACCTTTCCAACTAACGCAGGGATATTCATTGAGTTAGTTGCAAATCCCATCCCAAAGACCATAGCTGCTTCCACATTCAGGAACTTAGCCACAAGGTCCTCCAACTCCTCGTGCTTATCCAAAGTGCCTGCACATAAAATTGTGAGGAGTAAGCCTTCTCTTTTCAACAAGGCCAAGATTGAAAACTCAAATTCCAGTACATACACATCACCAAAAGACCTATACAAGAGTGCTTGTAGCAGGAATATTTGCCATTGCCCCAATTTAGAAACAAGCCAAATATTCAAATATTGTAGAGTGGGTAATTACAATATGGGATATTTGTATAGTGGAATTTAATACAGCAATAAGAAAGAATGAACTGCTGCTCCACACAACATTGTGGATAAATCTGACAAATCTATTGTTTAGTGAAAGAAGTCAGACATCTAAAAAAGTACAGGCTATATGATTTAGTTTACATAAAGTTTGCAAATGGACAAAACAAATCTATAGGGTTAGAAGTCAGGATAGTGGTTACTTTTGTCAGGAGCATGAGGAGGGTTTTTAGAGTCTCTGAATGTTCTATTTCTGCATTTGTTACATAGTTATGTTTGCTTTGTGAAAATCCATTGAGCTGTGTACTTACCACTGGTACACTTTTCACCATTCCATAAATAAAATTTACAAAGAATATCACAATTCTTCTGTCTTTTTACTCTACATCTCACAAGTAATTAAATTATAACCCCATCAGTTTCCCCACATCTAAATGCAAAACAGATCCCATGACTTCCACAGATACCAGTAAAACTAGTTATAATTCATTGAACCTTTGGAATGTACTAGATACTGTGTTAAGCCCATTATTTAGGTTCTATCATTTAATCTTAGAAGCCCAATAATGCAGGTATTTTTACTCCACAGATAAGAAAACTGAGGCCTAAGAGGTTACCAATAAAAAGCCACAGAGATAATCTAGTCTAACTCCAAAGTTCATGTTTTTACCTTTTTACAATCTCTTATATGCTTGCCCTTTGATCCCTCCCTAAACATAATCCCCTCATGGTTTGTTACAGGAAATGTTGATGCTCCCCATATTTTCTGTTTGCTGTTACGTGAACTTCTGTGTCTGCACAGTTCAACATGGTAGCCACCAGCCACATGTGGTTACTGCAATTGAGAAACTGAATTTCAAATTGTATTTAATTTTAAGTCACTTAAAATGTAAAGCTAAAGCATAGTAAGATGTGTTTCACCAACTGCAAATTTATTTTTTGATAGCATTACATTTCTTATTAATTAATGGAAATTTAATGTCTTTATTAACATGTGCTGTAAGTGTAAAATAGGTATCATTTTCTGAAGCCTTAGTACAGCAACAAAAAGAATGTAAAATAGCACTTTTTTTTTTTCCTTTGAGAAGGAGTCTCACTCTGTTGTCAAGGCTGGAGTGCAATGGCATTATCCCGGCTCACTGCAACCTCCATCTCTTGGGTTCAAACATTTCTGCCTCAGCCTCCCGAGTAGCTGGGAAAACAGGTGCACATTGCCATGCCCAGCTAATTTTTTTGTATTTTAGTAGAGACACCATTTCACTGTGTTGCCCATGCTGGTCTAGAACTCCTGAGCTTAGGCAATCCACCCACCTTGGCCTCCAGATTGCTCAGATTACAGGCATGTGCCATCATGCCCAGCCTGATATTTTTTACACTGATTACACATTTAAATGGCAATAATCTATATATATTGTGTTAAATAAAATGTATAATTACATTGATTTTGCCTGTTTTTTACTTATTAAATTGGCTATTAGAAAATTTAAAATTATACATGTGTCTTGCCTCGTGTTTTTATTGAGCAGTGCTTTCTAAATGATATAACAGAGAACAGAAAAATGTGCAAGTGGAGAGACGTTGTAATTTGCACACATAGAACGTAGGCACTGTTGCTCAGATTTAAGTTATAGAAGGATTGTTAGCATGTTTAGGGCTGCTATAAACATACTTTCTTCAGCCTAAGGATCAACTTAGTTTACTGTATGATGTAAGAATTTATTTAAATTGGTAAATTAATTTTCTTACTTGGCTAAATGGTAAGAAGGTATTAAATGGTCAGTTCTAAGATTTATATTGCATGTCATGTTGAAGAGGACACTTGGTGATCTTTGCCCTTCACGAGAGGTCACACTGTTTGAAGGGCCTTTCTTTTCAAACTGGAGTTTATTTATCCCCAAAGTTGTTAGAAGGCATAGTAAAACGAGTATTCTAGTAGTCAGTCTGACTCAAGATTTGGTGAAATGTTAAAAGTTTAAATTGTAATTTCAAACTTTGTATTATCACAGGTATATTATAGAACAGAAAGAGAAACTGAAATTTAAGAATAAAACATGGGCATATCATTTGCCAGATTTGCTTTTACCTAAAAGAGACTTCTTCCCAGTGGGAATGGTTCCCAGAACAGGCAGTGAAAAGGCCAACAGCCTGGGCATAAGGAGACTTAGGTTCTGGCTTTAACTCTTCCATTACCAGCTGTGTAGCCTCTCGCTACCTTTCCTGGAAGCTTGAAGAGGGATTGAGAGAAATGCCATTTTAGGCTTTCCCAATGTTACTCATGCTATTTCCTTCCCACAAAATCATCTTTTTGCCCCTCATCTTTTTTCTGATGCCTTTCTCAGCTTCCCCTGGGAAAATTGGTCATTTTTCTCTTCTGAGATTGAATAACATCTATCATATGATGATTATAGCACTTATTATGTTGAACTGAGAATGTTTCCAGGGCAATCTTCTCTAGTACAGAAAGAGTCCTTGGAATGCAGACACTGTGTGTGAGATCCCATGACTTCCATAGATACTGACAAGAGTATCACAGATGTTCAAAGTATCAGACATTCTGTGATGGTATCATAGATTTTTGTCTTGGCAACCACGGGGCTGACACATAGTAGGTACTTGTAGAGTTATGAGGGGTACTTTGATGAATAACGAAGACAGGGCTGAGCTTAGTGTAGGAGAAGACACAGAGAGGAAGATCAAAAGGCCATGCAGTGACAAGGCAACAAGGTGACTAGGCAGTGAATACTAGCTTAAAGACATTCATTTCTAGAGAAGTCTTCTAGTAAAGACAGGGTGCCCAAACTTTGCCAACTTGATATTGTTCCCCTTTCCTGCCCAGAGGGCCAGGTGACAACTAGTTCAGTCACCCAGAAGTGCATGAGCAGAAGTTCATGACGCCTCTCCATGGTGTGTTTCTCCACCTTTACTCTTTCCAAAACCTGCTATCTCAGTTTATCTACAACAGTGGCATCACTAAAAATTGTTAGGATAATATGAGATGTGTTATCATGTAATAAAACAGTCATAACTCATGAGGAGTGGGTGTGTCTAAGACCATTTTGAGAAATTGCTCACTACAAGGTCTTTTCCATTAGACCTGGCTTAAAGAGAGGGAGGAGGCTAGGCACAGTTGCTCACACCTATAATGCCAACACTTTGGGAGGCTGAGGGAGGAGGATCACTTAAAGTCAGGAGTCTGAGACCAGCCTGGCCAATACAGTGAGAAGTCCACCTCTAAAAAGATAAATAAAAAATAAAGTAGCTGGGCATGGTGGTAGTACACACCTGTAGTCCTAGCTATTTGGGAGGCTGAGGTAAGAGGATTCAGCTTAGGAGGTTGAGGTTGAGGCTGCAGTGAGCTATGATTACACCACTGCATGCCAGCCTGGGTGACAAAGCAAGATCTCATCTCTTAAAAAAAAAAAGAGAAGCAAGGGAAGAGAGAGAAAAAAGGGAATGCAGGTGTCCATCTGAGGTTTGAGGTCCCCAGACACAGTCCTTTTTCAGGATTTCCAGTGGGCATGTGGTTGGCAAAGTGATTTTTAGCCCCTAGATGCAAGACCAATTTCTATGACCAGATGCCTCACAGCTGAGTTGCAAGTTAAGAGCAGTTTTGCATCTAGGGGCTTACTTTCATTTATATAGAAAACAATAATTCCCAAAGTTCATTTTCATGGAGTTTCTCTGTTTAGTGTTCTTAGCTCAGATTTTATAAACAAGTTTGAAAGATTCCCAGGATGGCTGCAGATCTTTCACCACTTCTACTTCTGGAAGCCATGCCTTTGAAAGTCAGATTGGACTGGTCTAGGGTGAGGTAGGTTTTTAAAGGAATAATGAAAAATCTTCCTTTTAGTCAAGTGCTGCTTTTCTCTTCCTGCTCTTCATATTCAAAAAAGAAGAATATAGGAAGAGTTTGAGGAAATAAAGTAGTCACTAGAAGCTTTGCTTCCTACAAACATTCGTTCAGGCCATACCCTGATTGAGTAAAGGTGTCAACTTCCAGTTGGTGGTCCAAGTACTTGGGTATTTCTAGAAATTAAATACATTTTGTCTTTGGTATATAAATATTGGCAATTTTTAAATCCTAAGAAAGCACAGTTATAATGCTAGCTGAAGGTACAAATAAATCCACAATAGTTTTTTTTTTGTTGTTTGTTTCTCTCTGTGACATTTTAGTCTCTGAAAGTCAGTAACAGCCATAAATTGGCTATTGACAGTAGATCTCCAAATTGCTGTTATGCATGTAATGAATCTTATTTTTGTCCTGGTGGTTCATTTGTCCAGCATTATACTCAAAATCTGCCTTATGAATAGAATAATAAACACAAACTGGAAGTTTCCTCGTCAGCTTTCTAAGTAGTTTTTTCATGTACCAAGCACCACATTCGCTGCCATCAGTCAAATCAAAAATTAGATTCAAGATAAAGTGCCAATATTCTATTTATGGACTATATGCATGTCTACTGAATTTTTATTGATACTGACTGGCTCGTACTCTTTAGTCAGAGATTACTGGCCTATATGTTGACATTGGTTAATAGCAAAGAGCGTGGGTGTTATTAACAAGCCTGTTTCACAACTACCAATTCTTCTGTAGCCCATGTGAAGACTATTTTCCAGATTGTGACTATAGCCACTTTTGGTCCAAAATGTCCTGTTCGTAAACCGTTCCTTAGACTTGACCTAAGAGCAGGCTGTTGTTTATTATGGGGACCTGACAGCTGTCCCATCTTGCCCTTCAAACTGTCAGTCAGAGCTATCAGTTCACATCTGTGCCATTTTGCTTGAACTTGTAATTCTTGCATTAAAGCTT